CTCACTGATGGCAACTGTTGGGTGGGCTGGCCACTAGGAGTGAGATTTAGTCAGGCAAGGTCCTCTAAAGCTTAGGCCACACCAATTTAATTTGTTGGTTCTCGGATTCGCCTCTTCGTTTTTTCTGATTTGAACAAAAAAAAAAATTTAGATTCTGGTCCTGAATCAACTGAAAAATGCTTATGTTTTGCCCCGAACAGTTGAGGAAAGTCCTTTTCTTCCTAGTTGTTACAGTTTTCCCATCTATCATTGCAGTGGTATGATTAAAAGTTCAAAATTCAAATTGTTTAAATTTTTAACCCAGCCTTTTGTGTTGACTTCATGGCTCATTTCATGGCATTTAAGCCTATAATAGGATGCCTAGACCTGTTTTTATTTTTATTTTTTTTCGCTCTGTCGCTTCATATTTTTTCTGAAAAAATCCGAGAACCAACAAATTAAATTGGTGTGGTCTTAATGATGACTAAAAACAGATACAAACCTTGTAGGATACTCTTTGCTGCCCTGAGAATAGTAGACAGGAGGGTTGCCATGAATCCCAGCATGTGGAAGTTCACCTCTCCCACAGTGTTGAGCAGCGCCCCCATGCAGATTGGCACCATACTGCAGTAGACATACTTGCTGGGCCTGTTGCACACAACATCACGAATTACAGGGAATCTGTAGTGACAAATTTTTTCCATGTCATTTTTTTGTTCCCTCTATAACAAAGCACAACACAAGTTTCCTACATTGACTTAAAAATGGTACCCTAGTAAAAGTAGCTTTGCCAGGCACCTCATAAATACAATCACTTTTGATGAAATTGTCCCCAATACTACTCTTATCTGCCAAATAAACATACGGGTACATTTATTTTTTTGGGCCCAAACATCCACCCAGTACGTTCTTATTTTGCACAGTACGTTTATTAATTTTTTGAAAACCAGTAATTTTTTTCAACTTCGTGTGAAAAAAATTGACAAATCATCGACGTGAAGACGTTTATATATTAAATGCTCTTTTTTTTGTCTATTTAAATTCCTAATTGCAAATAACAGTTAGAGATTTGTGCATATATCAGTAAGGGTGCATTTTAGTACAAGAGACACAGGTTACCCGTCAATTTTGGTAGTTTTCCGGGGGGTACGTTTATTCCGGGGGTATGTTTATTTGATTTTGAAGATTTGTCCGGGGGGTACGTTTATTCCGGGGGGTATGTTTATTCGGCAGATGAGAGTAATCTCCAAGCAGATCCCTCTCAATGGCAAAAAACAGTATCAAATTGGCCAGGCAGTATCCATTAGCCAGAGAAGGTCACCGGCCACCGACGGTTGGTGAGGGTAGCGACGAAAAAAAAAGGCCATATATAAAAAGCTAACCCTCATTCTCCCACAACCTCTGCTTGGAGAGTACCCAACACCTTTAACAATAACATGTGAAGCCAATTTACCATTAACAGTTGCCAGCCCTCCTTAGCTTAGTGCTAATTTTTCATAAGTGTTATTGGCCCACCAAAATTTACTGTTGAGTAATAGTAATACCAGGATCCCTTCATGGAGACCCTCAGATTGCAACACACAGGTACCATAGAAAATCCTAAATTTACCATTATGATTGTTACCAGGATCCCCCCATGGAGTGCAGCACTAGAGTGGAAAAAACACTCTAAATTTAACACTAATTGTTTCCAGAATCCCCCATGTAGACCCTAACTCAGCGCCTAAGGCCACACTGATTTAATTTTATGGATGACATCCGCGCGTGCATTGATTTCGCCTGTCGCCCTAAAAAAAAAAATCACCTCCACCGAGGCTCTGGCCTGGGTCTAGGCCTGGGTTAAGTCCATGGTTAGTTAGGGACAATACGGAGCCGGGTACCCAGGCTATCGAATTTGAAGCTCCGAGACTCAAGAACTCAGTACATAGTACAGTACTGATTCATAAATGCCACAAAAAGCCAGCATGTCGTATACATTGCTAAGTACTGTTGCAAATTCACAATACCAGCTTTGTATTCTTGTGGTTATAGTAGTATTTTTATTTTTGGCTGGAATTTTTTTTTATTCGCCCGCGCTCACTAGTTTGGGGGTCTTCAGGGATGTCATCCATAAAATTAAATTGTTGTAGCCTAACAGAGTGCAACACAGAGAGCCAAAGTAGAACATTCCATTTAAATCAGTTCTAGGGTTGGTGAGTTATTTTATGGAACAGATAGCCTAGCCTAAGGTGACTGACCCAGGGTTGATAGTCCTCTATCTGCTCTTCTCCAAGCCTGGAGGTTAACTGTTATGGTTCTGCCAAACTCCATTTGTAAGCATCGTCCTATTTACATGGCTACAAATTTTGCTAGCAGTCTAAATGAAGCATTGGTTCCAAATACTTATCATGATTGACCATATAATGAACTGTACATTGTTAAGTATAAATATCAAAATATTGGCAATTGCATATTTTGTCTGTGATATTCATATTTGTCTCAGATATTGTAAAATTACTAAAAGTTGATGTTAAAATCAAAGCTTGAGTGCTTTATCATTACATCACATGGGACACCAAGGCCTAGTGCTGAGCTGTCCTTACTGACCAATCAGAGTGGCTCTACATGTGTGCTGTACTCTGATTGGTTGATTGAGGAGGTGTGTCAGGCAAGTATCCAAATCTAAAAATATCATTAGTACATGAGAGCTGGGGACTTCAGTCTTACGACTCAACACTCAACAACAAAACTAGATGAAGGAAAAATGAGAAAATTTGCTGTTATATTAAGTTGATTTAAATGGGCAAAATCGCCCCATATAAACTAAAGTTTCTTGAGTTTAGAAATGCTGACACAATTTCTACCCAGCTGTTAGCATTTTCTTCAAAGGAATTGGAATTTATGACTACCAGTACTAACGAATTTTAGTTCAAAATAGAAGTTATTTGTCGAAATAGTACCTACCACTAATTACTTTGCTTTGTAATGAAGCTTGTTCACTACATGATGTTTAATTTGTGTTCTAAAATCACACAACTTTACTTTGGCCAGTTGATAAATCATAAAATCTATGTATTCAGCTTACACATTACATGATGTAGCTTCAATAAATGACATTGCTTTACATTCTTTTGGTACACTACATCTTTTAAGGCTTAAAAAAATAAATTTTGTTGATTAAACAAAAAATAACAGCCAACAAAAAAGGTTAGCAGCCTCAACATACATAGGCTTGATAATATTAAATGTAAGATAGCAAAATTACCTACTAGTAAATAACTTGATGGATCATAAATAAATACAATTGTACAGTAGATAAATGAATAAATTAACCTTCTTGATGTAATAAATCATAATAAATTAACAAAACTTGTTATTAAAATGGATGTACCACAGACAAAACAAACATTTCTCACCTGACACCCATGAGTACTCTTGCCAGGATGATGGTGAATAAAGGTGCAGTGGCCGCGATCATCTTCGTAAATGACACGTAAAGGTAATTCAGTCCAACATTACCCAGCGCCACGCTGGTACTAAAAACCACACTCAGAATCAAAATCTTCTTTTCTAGCTGCTTGGGGAGCTTTAGTCTCGTCTCAGGATCTCCGTAGGCTGCTCCTAAATCCGTGAATCTGATGACGAAGTAGTCCACAAGGAACGAGGCTAGCATGTGCAGAGTCGTGAGGAATAAGGGGTAGGGGAAACTGTGGTGGGAGAGAATCCATTTGTTCACGTTGGCCATGCCGACTCCTAGCGCGAACCAGGCTAGAATAGACGCGTAGGTCATGAGCCGTATGTCCGATAGCAGTGCCATCGCAGTCCCCGCGTCCTGTCCCTCGGCGAAAGAGCCGTAGTCTAGCGCCCCGATGATCTGTACTCCACCGCCCATCTTGGCTTCAGGTTTGAATCTGTTGTTGTTGTTGAAGTAAGACCGCCTGGAGCGGGACACAGCCATGGTAAGTGTGGAAAATACTTCTCTCTGGTTGAAAATATGCCGACTGCTTCCTGTAGCGGCCTCCGACTGCTGACTGACGAAGCCAGGGCGGGCTGCTCTATATAAAGTTTCCGCAGTGATGTCATACTGAGGGTCGGTAAGGGTCGGTGACGTAGGAAGGGACCCTCAAGGTGACAGCCGTCAGTCATGTGCCTGTGAGTCACGCGGTATAAAGAAGGACGTCCTACATTCGTTTTGAACCGTTTTCATTTTTACCCGTTCTATCAGCAAGGTTTTCGACATATTTTGGATAAAAGTTGCACTTAGAAGGTCATTTTAAGGGAATAATTCGAGAAATAAAGGTTGTAGGATTCCACCATCCGCTGTGATGCCGGTTTCCGTGTTGCCGGAAGTGACCGCCCAGTAATGACGTCACGACAATGGAACTTCAGACTATTACACTACTGTATTTAGGGGTGGAAATATAATCTTTATAAAACCACAAATTATTGTCAAGCCATCCATAACGTCATCTACATCGTATCATTCCACAACTGCGTAAAATATTTTAAACGTAATGTTTGTCATCAATTTTTTTTCGGTAATCTATAAAAACCCCTATTGAACAATGGACTACTCCTTTTCAAAACATGGCGGCCACCATGAGTTCGTCAAGTTCCGAAGATGAAGACGAAAAACAGCGTCTGAGAGAAGCTGTGATTGAAGTTGCAGCCTGTACAGGTGATCTGTAGTAGCTGATAGTACTAGCCTGTGTCGACAGCTTTGGACATGTGCTGTCATTCTGTTTTAGCGCGTATGATACTCATAAAATCTTGGGGTGCACATGGCATGAAATTATATGCAAGTCTACCAAAATAATTATATTTGCTTAATAACGGTTATACTTAGTCATGGGACATAATTTTTATTCAACTGTACAACATATGGCAGAGCCTGGCACTCGCGGATGGGCTTGTTCAGTCACCAAATAATTTGCCGGGGCCGTCCTGGACAAGCCCAATTTGTCTACCTATTATTATTATAAAGTACGATATATTTTGGTAAACTACGTATACAATTCTGTATGTGTATGATACGGACTTACATTGCATTACCCTCAGCAAGAGGGTAATGCTGAGGGTAATGCAATGTAAGCCCGAATCAAGAGTCGCCACGGCTAGATACGGACTATGATGCTGAGTGCTTTTTTTAATGCTAAATGTTTTTTTTATTTTATTTGCGTCACAGAGCCAGATAGTTCCTCCAGAAGAGACAAGAAAGGGATCCGGAAAGGAGGTTCTCTAAAACGAAGTCTCAGGTATAATATTAATTGACTTACTTTTGTAAATACTAATAACATTTTTGCAGTTCTATGAGGCCCAAATTATAGAATGGATTTGGAACATAAGTAGATAGCTAAACAGTTCTAAGCATGTATAAAATGTGATTCAGACATTGCATCCAAAATACATGTGATAATTGTGATTCAGACATCATTTTAAACCTTTTTGTTTGTAATAACTAATAACATTTTTGGAGTTTTATGAGGCCCAGAATATATAAAATGGATTTGAAACATAAGTAAATAACTAAACAGTTCTAAGCATGTATAAAATGTGATTCAGGTATTATAGCCAAAATACATGTGATAATTGTGATTCAGACATAATTTTAAACCTTTTTGTTAATTTCTTAACTATAGGGAAGTACAGAAAGAAGATGAAGAAGCCTACAGTACGGGTATCTCAGGGGAAGTTCGAGACTTTGTAGCCAAGAAACTCAGCTCCTTTCTGGACAGGTAAATGCTGAAATTTAGGCCACACCAATTTATTTCCTTGGTTAACGGATTCGCCGCTTGCTTTTTTTGCCGAATGAAAATAAAAATAAAAAACGTCATAGTTCAGACCCCACAGGCCGTTAATACCCTGAACAGGGAGACCCCAATGAAATTGCTGCAGTTCGTACCAATGTCGCTAGAGGCGCTCCTGCACACATAGTCACATGACGTAAAGTAGCCAATCGTGGATTGTTTTACTTTCTGACCAATCAGATGCGATGTTCTGGAACCATGTTGGCTCAGTCATTTGTTTTGTTGCGGGAGCCTCATGGCGGACAAAATTTGTGGCGGAAGCTTAAATTGTTTGAGAAAGCTGGAACTTTGGATCAAGGCAGAATCTAGGTACAGTACATGTAAAATTGAATAAATTTTGTCCCCTTTAAAGTTAAAATTGCTTGTGAGAGTTAACATTCGTGTCATGTTTTAGAGTACATATGATGATGGTCGAACTTGGAAGTAACATGCTAAAACTTGTTTTCTGCATTTTGCTCGTGTACGAAAAAGATTATCAACCCAAATGGTGTGGATAGCAAATAAAACACAATACGGTACATCCTCTCTTGCCTTTTGTTTCTTTCCCAGTATTTTCGTAACTTAATAAGCAGTCTGGATTTCACACTACATGGCTGTATGGCAGGTAGTATCAAATTTTTATTTTTATTTTTTTTTCGCCCGCCCGCTCCATTTTTTTTCTACAAAAATCCGTTAACCAAGAAAATAAATTGGTGTGGCCTTATCTACTTGTTTTCTTCACTTTGCACAAATAAATACATTTAAGTTTCATCTCTACAAAATACTTTTTTGAACCAGGTTGCCCAGTGCACAACCTACAGCAAAATTACTTAATTAGGTTGCCCATCAGAATTTTAGGTTGCTCCACCTATCGGCCGGATACAGCGGTGCAAGCCAAGTGGGCATGATTGGGGGGGGGGGGCATTCTTAAAATTCATTTCAGGTAGCACACTGGGCTACCTAGGTTCAAAAATAGGTTGCCCCAAGTAAAATTTGCACGCTGTAACTGCGAAAAAAGTTTATTTAACCAGTATATGTCTTATTTAATAAAACAAGTCTTGTCTCTGTAGCTGTATCACAGACATGGACAACAATACAGAGATGGGGAAAGTGACTGATGATGAGGAAAGAGACTGTGGTATGTCATCTCTACTTTTTTGTCCTCCATTTAATTAGTAGTAGTAGTAATAATACTAGATAGTCAGGTAAGCCGAGGTACGGGAGGTGGAGAGTTTCCCGCGCGGGAACGTGCCATGTATGAGGCACAGTTCCCGCGCGGGAAACTCTCCACGTGGAGCCACGGACTCCCGTACGGGAGATTCACCACTCTAGAGCGACAGTGCGCGCATGTGTTTTCATTACTCAGCTCCCAAATGGCAAGCACGGGAACGTCACCATTTCGGGCCAACATCGCGCGATCGGGAACGTCACCATTTTCGCGCAACGGGAACGTCACCATTTTGGGCCAACAACGCGCGATCGGGAACGTCACCATTTTGGGCCAACAACGCGCGATCGGGAACGTCACCATTTGGGGTCAAATCGCAAACTTCACACCAAACTATCATATATCAAGCAAAAAAGACGAATTTGCGAAGCCACAAACGCACATTTTCTGTGAGATTTGTGTATGGGTACCTTTTCCCTTTTGAGTAAATATCATGCATTCATGAGTATTTACGGTAGAAAACGAACTTTCGAAGATATCGTATTATGGAGGTATTAAACGTTCCAAAATCTAAGAACGTCGAAATAAACAACATAGTACTGTCAAAGCAATCACGATAATAATTTGTACATTCCAACAAGTCACTGATTTTGCTTTCAGGAAGAGGGACTATGATAGGGAGAATCGGGAAGCATATCTACGTGACTCAGGCTCCGTGACTGCCAGGGCCTGGATACTAAATGCTGTAAACAACGCAGCATTTTTTTATACCGAGAATGAAAAAAAAATAACAAGATACCTGTGGGCATGGAAGACGAAATATGGATCTTCAAATCTTGTGGCGTTGGCTACTTCATCTGTGTCCTCTATCGGTCAACACTGACTTTATAAAACAACACTCGCTCCTCACTCCCGAAGTCGTGACACACCGGCCGGCCATAACCCACGCTACTACTAATTAATATTCATTAGGTCAAAGGTCATGGTATTGTTTAATGTCAAGGTCGGAGAACACAGTATTAATGAGCGTGGGTATAGAAAGTAGTGCGGGCAGAACTATTGAATCAAGCAAGGACATTCTTCTGTGATAAAAGCTCCTTGAATCAAGCGACTTATGTGAGATGTAACCAGGAGTAAACTGAGCTGTGTTGTATAGTAATGCATCGGCTTGTACACTGTATACTAGTAATCTGATACAGTGTACAAGATACATACTAGTACTGTGAAGATTTCCCTGTTCGTGTATAAATGCGCCGCATTACGCAACTGCGTTCCATGGTGAGCCGCCTGCAGTTCCTTTGACCTCCACAGGTGGCCAAATAAAAGAGGTCGTCACGATGTTAAAAACATAACTTTTTTGTTTTCTATTATTTTGTAGATGTACTAGTTGGCCGTGTTACTCTAGTGCACCCTACTATAATTTTACCGCGTCGAAGTGAGCCACCTTGGGGTGCTTAACTATAGAAATCCCCATAGGGCGAAAACTGTGTTCTGTCACTTCAAAGGTCGCAGTGCCTCCGCGACAGTTTGTGTAGTATTTTAGAATTCACTTGGAAACGGATACGGTAACTTAACATTATGTTATTGTGATTAAACGTGATAATGTGTGCATATGAGCTGTAGTTCGTCAAATTTTAAATTTTGACGAGTTTTGCATACTTTCACCGAGGAGGTAGCTCCTTGCTTCCACTGTGACATATTTGCAGCGGCAGAGGCGCAGCGTTACATTTTTTCAGGTACCACTACGAGACCAGGCCTGTCACAAGAGACCATCGGTTGGATCTTGGATGGAAAAAGCAATCAGACCTACTTCATTTATTTTTATTCCAACCTGTTGCCTTCGCGTTATTGTTGCCGTTACTAACACAACCAAGTCTGGCACGATCTTACATCTAAAGCAACTAACAATATGCCCAAAATTCTATGGGAAGACGGCTGGAAATCTTTGTTCATCGATATGAGATTTTCACCATACTTCTCTTAGCGGAATTGTAGCACTCCGGCCTTACCTTAGGGTGTCCGACGGCTCAAGAAATCGTCTAGAAACTGTAAATCCGGTCCAACAGCCTTGAGTATGGTTCGCAATGCATGGCGGTATAGCATCAGTTGTTTCGGCAGAACAATAGAAGTTCAGCGGCGGCCATGTTTGTTCCCGTATAACAACAACATATAACATCACTATCTACGACTGCAACCATTTTAAAACATAAATACAAATATGTAATTATACAGGTTCTATTTATGTGCCACGAAGAAATCGCTGTAATCTCCAACTTGACACTGCATCCGGTGTTGTGTTATTGGCGGGAAACCTGGCGTCCCCACCGCCGCGCCGCAAATCTTTCGGCTCGTAAATCTGTAAAATTCATCAAAATTGAAAAAAAAATAACTACCGAACACGGATATATAGTATCATGTGTAATCACTTGGAGTAACATACTCAGTAATTTTATCTTAGATTGAACGTAACTTGTCTGAAAGTTGTGATGGACTGTTAGTTGGTAACTGTTACTTTTAAAATCGGATGTTAGTAAACTGATGAGGAACATAACGTTGTAGCAAAAAGGAAATCAACGACACAGATAAATCAAAAATGGAACAAAACTGAACAAAGCAAACGTTATAACTAGAAACCAACGTAAAAATGAAAAACGGATTTTAAAAAATTATTCGGCGAACGGTGTTACCCAACACGGTTTTAACCTTGATCCTGACGACTTGAATCTGAAAATGAAAACAAGAATGACAAGCTTTTGCCTTACACTACCTAAATCTGAAAGAGAAATTAAAGCTGTCTGATTTCGTTATATAAATCACCAAAGTCGTGTAGACTACTGCTGTAACACTCGGGTCTCGCGCCAAGCTGATATACTATAATGCATGACGGGATAGCGTCATTTTGTTAATGGTCGCCATCTTTTCAGCGTCCCAGCCGGACAAGTACGAAAATAACTGTTGATGCATTACTAGTACATCGTTGCATTGTAACCAGGTTGGGCCTGGGCACGTTGTGAGGACGCATGATTTGTGTTTACTGTTCAGGAGCCGGATATCAGCAAGACTAAACTTACGGTCTTTTATCGGTACAAAAAGAATCGTTATTCCAACGAGGCTATAACGTCCTTGCAAAAGGAAATCAGCGCTACAGAACAAAGTACGCAACAAAGTACGCGTACGATGACTAACAAAACTCGAAACGCAAACGGTATGATTAAGAAACCCCTAGCCTCAGCTTGCTGGAAATGTATATATTTCAAGGAAAATATGAGTAAATGGCAACCCACAACACATACGCAGGGATTGAATCTGAAATACCGAACAAGGTTTTTATTTTTGCTACAACCGTAACACTCTAGCGTCATTATAATGCATGACGGGATAGCGTCGTTTTGATTATGTCCGCCATATTTTTCTACCCCGGTACTAGTTCTAGCGTCCTGAGTATTAGCATGTACATGTATGAGAATAGGGGAATAGCCGTAAAGTCTAAGCCGCTCGCTAAGTCATTTGTATAGCGTGAGTTTGACACACATAATTATGTTTTAATTTGAGGACGAACATTTTGTGTTCGTTGTCGAGGAGCCGGTTGTCGTTAGCGTTATCAACTACGCTATCAACAGCACTGAAATGTCCATAGAAGACGCACTCGTGATTACGTCGATCACTCGACGTTTTTAGAATTTTGCTTCAAACCAAGCTAGGGGCGTTGTTTTGATTCCAGCCGGTTCAATCACAGGCGCTAGGCCATCGAGTTTTTGTTGAAATCTATATTGTTTTGTAAATGTCCTTGCTATTAAAAACTATTTTACAACCGTGATTGTTGTGTGTACTTACTCAGTCTGTTGCCTTCACAAAACAAAAGGAATGAACACGGTCCGTTGAAAGATTCCCGAGAATCATACACTGAACACAAACACCATAAACACGGTCCGTTGAAAGAGTCCCGAGAATCATACACTGAACACAAACACCGTAAACACGGTCCGTTGAAAGATTCCCGAGAATCATACACTGAACACAAACACCGTAAACACGGTCCTTTGAAAGAGTCCCGAGAATCATACACTCAACACAAACACCGTAAACACGGTCCTTTGAAAGATCCCCGAGAATCATACACTCAACACAAACACCGTAAACACGGTCTACAACCTGACGAGGATTCCAAAAGAACCATACGAACATATACCGAAGTCTCCCGAAGATTGCCGAGAGCCGAACGGCGGCTTCAGAACGCTTTAGCTTTGTTAGTACTAGTATACACTAGGTGCGAAATGCCAATTCTAAAGACCCTATTTTCTGCGAAATACCACAAGGAAAATAAAAGTCTTGATACTGTCTATAATCAAGGGGTAACTAAGTAGCCCTGTCAAGTTTCTTGGGGTATGATATCATATTTTAAAGAAGATATGAAGCATTTTGTAAAGTCCGATTTCCGGTGAACTGCGTTACCAGCAGTACCACTGCTGGCCGCTAATGTCGCTGCTGCACAGGTCAATGACATCACCGCTAGCCAATCAGACGCACGGTAGGCGCCCACATTTCCCGCCACGGTTCGAAAATGGAAACGCGCTTCGACTATTCGAAATCGATCGAACCGGTTCCATTTCAAGATGCCGATATGATCAAGTTAGCATGTAAATCTATACGGGCGACAGAATTTCACCTTTTGTTTTGATTTTCTGTCACGTCGTCTGCTCGACCCGTGCGTCGACCCGTGCGTGGTCGATACCGGCATTACTTCCGGGTACCATTTGCTGGCTGACTTTCGGTAAGTATACAGTGCTAAACCTAATTTTGAGATTATGTTAGACAGTGACGGCTGTTGTTGTTGTTGTTGTTGTTGTTGAATTTTTTCTATTGTCAAAATGCATGTTTACTGACTGCTTTAAGCGGCTTAAAGACATATGACTGTGGACTTTATTTCTACTTCTAAAGGATTTTGGAAGTACCGTACAAGTAGTGAAAGTTGACGTTTGTTGTGTTGTCTTTGTTTCAGATTATAATGCTGATTTGTGCGAAGATCGTGCGTACTAGTACATTGGAGTAGGGCTGCTTTTGGTGGCAGTAGTTAATGTTAAGTTTAAATCAAACCTTGTTGGAATGATTTATATATATATTATTTGTTGAAAATCTTGCAACGCCTCTTCCCTCGTAGCATTAGTAGTAGTTGAAGTAGTAGAAATATAGTAGATTGGTTAATTGTAATACACATGTATTAACAATAACAACAACATTACTATAACACCTTGTCTGATAAGTCATGTGGTAGCCTTTATAATTGCTCTCTCAGCTGCCCTCATCCGTCTGTACTTCGCTGTGTCATAATTTTCTTAAGCTTAGAAGAGAGAGAGAGAGATAAGAATGATCTAAGACATTATGATATGAGCATATCAAACACATCCAACTAAAACAAATACAATTGCAGACATGATGGCAGATAAAAACTAGGTAATCACCACTAAATACATCATTGATAATTGAACATGTAATAATCAATTGTGTACTCGGAGACCCGCCATCCATGATGGCAGATAAAACTAGGTAATCACCACTTAATACATCATTGATAATTGAAC